CCCGACTGGCAGGGACCCCACGGCGACCAGCAGCTCCACTGCCCGTCCGTCTGGCCTCCTGGAAAGGCATCAGAAAAAAATGGGAACACAAGGAATGACACGGGTCTGAAGTGCTACGTGGGACCTGGCAGACTGTAGAGGTCTGGTCCCCACTTCCCAAACCTGACCCGAGGGTTATTCCTCATAACCCTGCTCTGGTGGTAACCACCCATGGTGGTGGTTATGGATGCATCTGGTCACAAGGGCTGCATCCAGCTCAGAATGGAATCTGAGGAGACAGATAACAGTGCAATAGCCAAGGGCTAATTTGAGCAATGCACCCATCTAGCCACGGTGCTGGTCAGTGTCCAACTCAAGGCAAATTTGGAAGAAACTAACTCCTCTAGCTGGTATGCAAACGTGACTTGGAGTCAGTCAGCTTACTCCATAGATGCTGGAGAGTCCAGGGCCCACGGAGCTCTCCTGCATGGCAGTGAGCTGCATGCCAGGACCCAATGGTTGGACTTGATGATCTTAATGTCTTTTCCAACCTAAACGATTCTATGATCTCCCCTTGAGTAGGGACACCTCTCAGGGTTACTCCTGGAGGTTGAGATGATCCTTATCTCAATCGATCTATTCAGTAAGTGAATTGGAATAAGCACACTGAAGCTTTGAAATCTTAGCTAGGTGATAGAAAGGATTGATTGTGTAGATGTAATCCTTTAGACATAAACCATTGGCCAAGTCTGGGACTAAATCTGGATCCTGCCATACCTAAACTCCCCTCTGAGAAGGATGGACTCCTGGTCTATCCTAGCCATGCCCGGCACTTGGGCAGCTGTTGAGATCAAGGGGCTCTGAAGCCATGGGAGATGAAGCAGCATCACCTTCTTCAGACACCAATAGCTGTTTCTTTTTCTTCTCTCTGCTCGTTTGAAAGGCTGTAGTTTGGTTTTACTTTCCCAAAGGGCAGCTGACAGCTCTCTGAGCACTAACTTTCCCACCTCTAAGCAAGCCAAAGGGACAAAGGTCCCAAACATCATGGAGGTGCTTTGAAAAGTCTGCCTGTCCCTTTGGAGATGGGTCATTTCAAGGCTTTTTCATCACAGTACAGACTGAGTTGTCAGGAGTGTTTGATACTATGGATTATGGCAGCATTCCTGGATGATGGGAATGCTTGATGGCTGTCATTTACTGTCGGCTTTTATTTACTCAACTGGCCTTCATGCCTGGCTTGGGCACTTTATTAATCCAGACAGCACAAATGGATGTTTGTGCTCTTGGTGCTGGGTAAAAAGCTGTGTTTCCCATCTGCTGAAACCTTGTGCTTTAAAAAAAAAAAACAAAAACCAAAAAACAAAACTCTGTGTGGTCTTAAATGAGTTTTGAAACTAAAAATTTCAAACTACAAATTGCCCATGAGTTGAAGGGTGTCTGGCCCCACTGTTGCTAAAAGTAGAGTGCACAGGGGCTGGCCAGTTCAGTGGGTGGCTTTGTGGCCAGGTCCTGAGCTTTCCAAGCTCCTCATCTAAGGCAGATTCCTTGGATTTTGGGACAACTCGAGGACTCTGGGATTTTTAATGAAACCCACTTTGCAGTCACTGGGCAATACTGAGTTCAGCTTCATAAACCATCTGTCCAGCTGTGCTCTAGCTACTTATCACAGCTTTGATTTTCCAGTGGTGAGATCCTAGTTACAAGCACACAGTTGAAGGCCTGGAGCTCTGCCTGGTGGAACTGCTCTGAAGATGGATTTTTCTGCCAGCTCCATGTGCTGAGATTTAGATTTTTGTGTCATTATGAATCAGAACAAAAATATCTAGAAAGAGCTGTGACTTTTTTTTAAATAAAAGAGCATGTTCCAAGGTTGGCTCTTTTTTTGCCACTCATTTTATTTTTTAGGATGGTGTATAAAGTAATAAAGACAACACAAAAGCCTGTCATTTTGGAAAAGCACATTTTTTTCACCTCCAAAATAGACACTTCCCTCTAGTTAAAATCTTTCCTGGGGTGGGCTAGAATCTGGCAATGTGGCAATTTTTAACTAAACCAGCATTATTGGTGGCACACTGCTTGGAGCACCACTTGCCAGTCACTTAGCCTGACCTTTCCAGCCTGCCTGTCAAGGTTTGTGCTCTCACCTTTGCAGCAGGCATCCCTAATGGGATGCCACAAATGCTTTGGAGAATCACCATCCCAAGAATGTGACGAGCCAGCCAGTGAGGACCAGATGATGGTCTCCTTGTCAGTCATGGGTTGTGTCTGTAGAGCACTGCAGGCAGGCAGAGCCCACCCTTTGGGTGGGCAGCACAAACAGCTTGAGCTTTGCCAGGGTGCTGCCACCACACTCCAGCTCAGCCCTTTGCAACATCTACAGGTCTCCAGCCTTAACCCACACCATCATTTCCACTAGTTCATTCCTAACCATCCCCCAAGTCTCTTGCAGGGCTGCCTAGGGTAGTGTAGCAGCAAAAGTGATATACAGGAGCGAAAGCTCAATCGACGCATAGAAGCAAAGAGCTGTTGGTCAAGCAGGTGAAGGGGAAGACCCTGTCCCTTGGCTGCCTCTCCTCCTCCCCAGCTCTGAGTCTTACCTCGGCGCCTCGTCCGCTCGCAGGCAGGTCCTCCATAGCCTGGCTGGCACTGGCAGAAGCACCCATCTCCCACCAAGACGGGTTCGCCGTTGTTCAGGCAGGGGCCGCAGCGGCAGGCGTTGAACTCCAACAAGTAATCCTCCAAAGCCCGTTTCAGGTGCTGCCATTTGGGTTCCAGGTTGCCCAGGTTGCTTCTGCGGAGGATTTCGTGGATAGGCTGCAGCTGCCAGGGTGGGGATGAAGAGGATGGAGAACGTTTCAACTGAGATGCTACCACGCTGCAGTCAGAGAGCTGTGACATTGCTGGGTAAACTCAGGGCTCAGGAAAAAAACCTCATTTGTCTTCCTCGACAGCTCCATGTCCATCATGCAAATGTAATACCACAGGCCATGGGCCATGGTGAGAAACCACCGTTCCAAAACCTGCCTCATCTTTGAGGTTTGTGTGGGGTTGGCTTTTCTGGACATGCTTTGGATTTTCAGTCTGGATTTGAATGATAAATTAAAACACCGCAGGAAGACCATTTTTTGGATTGATTTCTTAAAACTGTCATGATCTCAGAGTTTCTTGCCTGCTTTTAGCCTTTTTAAACCAAAATGTTTGGATAACAGCTTTGGACAGAGGGTATCATCAAAACTTGGTGCCAACCTAACACTAATGCTGGCCAGATTGTGAACCTTCCAGTAAATGCTGGGCAGGGAGAATTTCACCTTTCTACATTTCACCCTTTGGTGCAGGGAAATAATATTGACCCATCTACAGCTTTAAGACCATAACACGCCCATAGTATTTCCAGTGGCAAAATCCAGTTTCTATTCAGTAAAAATATCCCAGTGGGGGCAACTCAAATTATAACTTGCCCAACTGACTATGGACATCCAATGGAATATTAAAACCAAAAACTCAGGGCTGGTCTGAGGACACACTTTTAGATTTTCCATCCATGTGTCTGCGTGGACACTGCAAGTCCTGGCTGGGAACTGGTGGAAACTGGTCCCAGAGGAGAGCTGGGCATCATCTCATTGCACAAGGTGCACTGAGAGTGATTTGAGGGGAGGATCAGCCAGGCTCTGGGAAGAGCTCTTGGGCAAATTTGCACGACTCTGTTTAACAAACGAGAGGGAGCTGGAGATAAGAGCTACTGAAGTGGACCTGAGTGCTTATCAGCAGCTGTGGTTGCACAGTGACTACTGAGCTCCAGAGCAGCCAACAGAGAGGTCAGCACGTGGTTTACTGGAAAACTGCAATAGGTTTTGCCCAGAACTGATGGGAACTTGTGCAGAAAGGTGAATAACCTGCAGCTGAACTGAAAGTGCTCCGATGTTATTGAGGCTTTCTGCTGCTGGGTGCTGCCCAGGGGGGGTTGCAGAGCTCCCCTGGCCCTGACAATGAGGCAGATAATTCCTGATTCCATTTTCCCTTCTCCCACCCTCTGTCAGAGACGGGAGTGGCTGTGCTTTCAAATGAAGAGGAGAGGGATGGAAGTGGCAGCATGTCCCTGCTGTGACCGAGGGCCTCCCCCCACACCCTGTGACTGCACTCCTGGAGCAGACCAGGATCATAGCATCTCAGGGTAGATGTGGTGCTCCTGACTGCAGCCAAGGAGGTGTGCCCACCTCCTCATGCCTCTGCAGCCCCTGACCCTGGATTATTTGTTTGTAGAGTAGTTCATCTCTCTCCCTTTCTATGGTAAAACAAAAGGGACAAGTAGAGCTTGGCTGATTTTTATGGCACCAGACTCTCCTTTTGGAGCATGGAGAAAGACAAGTCCCACCTGACAAGGCAGCCAGGAGCTCCCTGCTCTAAGAACTCCCAGAAGAACTCACTTAGACCCACCATGGGCTGCAGAGGTTGGGTATAGCCACTGCAGCCATGAGGCAGATGAAAAGCAGGAGGGTCTATACAGAGCCTTTGCTGAGGGGGGCAAGACTCCTTTCCCAGCCCCCTGCAAGTCTGCTGCTTACACAGGAGGGCAGACAGCATCGGGGAGAATAATAGGGATGAATGCAACTGTGGAGAGCCATTCATTGGGAAGCTGCTTGGGGACACATCAGAAACTTAACTGGGCACTAATCCAGCATTAAGCTCCTTGTCTGTCTCCCTGCGGATGCGGTCGGTGGGAGATGTACTCCCCATTGTGAAATGAATAAGAGGTTACCAGATCAGTGGCCCATTACATTTAATCTTGTTCTGTGATGGGTTCACAATAAAAATACGAAATGATCTGCTCGGCTACGCTTTCATTCCTTACAGCAGCAGAGTTTCTTCAACTGCAGAAAAGCCTTACCTCAAAATCAATAACAGCAGGGTTATATTTTAATGACCTTCCCCAGTGACGATAGGTGTTGCCATCCCAACTGTTTAAGAGCCCTCCGCTGTAACTGGTATCTCCACCTTTAATCCGGGCAATAATATCTTCCACAACTGAACTGTTGCTCAGAGCATCTGAAAAGTGGAATTACACCCATATTATTTGTTTACCCTTTCCACACGTACACTAGAAACTCTTTGATGGAGGTGAGATCAAGCGTGCAAGGGGTTCTTGGTGAGTAGCACTGGTGCTGCCTCCTGAAATCGATGGCAGCCCGGCGTTGCCCACTTGATTTCTAGTTAGCACGTGAGCAGTGGATCACACTCTCTGTAGCTGGGTAAGTGCTTCACAAATCTGGGGCTTCCTAGCCTCTCTGAGTCAGTTTTGACTTCTTTAGTCGTTGCCATGTTGCCCTTGTCACCCATGCCCACTTTGTCACGACCCTAGGGACTGCAGCCTTCCAGCCACCTCACTGCCTTTATTTCTAATCCAGGTATTGCTACCTCAATCCCTGCTTTTTCAAGAGCAATCCACACTCCTGGAGACTTGGAACCAAAGTTGCTTTGGTCCCACAACTGGGTCTGAGCCACAGATGGGGATGGCAGCAGGGCTCCCTTCTTCTTCCCCTTCTTTAATCTCCATGCCCAAGTGACTGAAAGAAGTGACAGGAGATGCTTTAGCAGACGTCTGCCCTGCTGTCATACCAGTATTCAGTAATCCTTTCTGTGCACAGTCAGAGGATGTCACAGCTGCTTCCAAATCCAGTACACTCTTGCTAGTTGTAAGGCCAAGTGACCAGGCAATACAGGCACTTATCTCTTCAGCACTGATGTCTGCAAAACAGAAAGGAAACCAGTGAAATCCTAAACTCCTTCTGAGTGGATGTTCATTTTCCTACTTTTTTTTTTTTTTTTTCCTATCAATAAAGAAAATATTCCTTTATTTCCATGTCCTGCTTGCAAAGGTAAAATCTATTCTGGGTGGAGGACAGCCTTTAGTCTTACCATGGAAAAGCCAAAATTTTATTGGGGATTATTGAGCCTATCACATAACGGGTGAATAGGCAGATGTCCTTACTGTAAAAATAGTTTCCTCAGAAACCATTAGAAAGAAAGTAAAATTCTTAACACTAGGTTTCAGACATATATTTCCTTTTTTGGTCTATTTAGAAAGAAAACATTTTGTTTGTTTGTTTGTTTGTTTCACAGACTAACTGCTAACCAGGGCAAAGCTGAGAACAGCAGCTGAAATCAATAGGTCCTCACTAATTTTCCTAAACTCCGGGTCTGACTCATGTGTTAGCAGTTTAAGTAGCATCTTAAGTAGCATCTTCTAAAAGGTCTGTTTGCTCTGAGCTGCTAAAGCTGCTGGTTGTGGGGCTGCTGCTGCCAGCACTGCCACATACATCATGAAAATATGTAACTGAAGAGCCATGAAGCGACTGCAGAGGGGAGAAGGGAACTAATGAGGTGGTTTCACCAAGGTAAGCCATGTGCATATTTCATACAGCTTGGTTTTATGTGCACACTTCTGTGTACTGCAAATATAATGCTGTCTTCTTTAATAGTTAAGAAAAATCCATTGATTTTAATAAATACAGGTATTGTAAGTAATAGGTAACTTTTATATTGCTCTTTTTGTCAGAGGATCTTAAAGTGTTAGACAAAGCAGCCTGGTGACCAATGCTACAGTATTGACAGGGAGGCACAGAGGTCAGTGGGATTTATGCATTGTGGCTTAATGGTCTGAAGATTGAGCCTCCAGCCCAGAGCATTGTCTCCTGAGTTGCCTCACCCCAGCACCAGGGAGCAGCATCACGTCTTGCTTGTGTTTAAAACGCTGGTGAAATGCCCCCAGCTCTGGGTTTCCTCCCTTCTGCACACCCTGCAGGAGATGCTCACTGGAGCTGCGTGGGGCATGGATCTGCTCGTTGGCTTGGTGGGTCCCAACTGGCAGGGGTGCTCTGCAAATGGGCTGCGAGTCCTGGATTCAAACTGTTGGGAGCTGAAGCATGCTCAAGAATTGGGGGGGGGGAATTACATTCCATTGCAAAACTGGGCCCCTGAGGAAGATTAAATGTGTAGCACTCAATTACTTGTACTAAACAGTTCAACAGTTGTAAACACAGTGGGTAAAGTTCATTCACCCAAAGCACCACGAGTGATTGCTTATCTTGGTGTTGGAGTGCCATAAAATTAAACTTGAGGAACACCCTGATTAATTGATTTGCTGTGGTTCTCGTTGAGTAATTATGTTCAGCAAAGGTCTGTCAATACAATTCGTTATTGGCCGCAGCGAGATCCGCTCCTGATAAATGAAAAGTGGTTATCATTGCAAAAGGGTGGTCGTAGAAAATATTGGCAGTTGAGGGGGGAGCCTTGATAGTTGCTTTATATGATATAATTTGCGATAGTTAAATGTGCTTGAATGATAAGATTTACTGCTGCATTTTGAATTAATCAGAGTATATGAAGACTCTTTCTAATTTACCCTGTGCATAATGTTTCTCCCATAAATGTTCTTGTAATGTGTGAGCACATTATACTGTTTTCTGCTAAATAATAGAACCATAACAATCTATTTTAAAAACAAGTAATGAAAAATATTGATGGCAGAACAGCCAGGGACCTAAGTTCTGATTTTATATATTTATTTCCCTCATGACCACATCCATACGAGCCCTCGCAGCCTGACAGCTAGAAATGGGTCTGGCAGCAAAACTGCAGTCCTAAACTCTGCACTGGGGAGCTGTGGTTTATTCCTGGGTATCTAAGCCCAGAAGGTGGCCTCATTTTCAAAATTGAGGTTTCCTATATGCTTAAAGTCCAGCTCATGCCAATGCTTAGCAACCTAGATGTTCAGTGACCATCCAAGCTGTTTCTCATTTAGGGAGGACTCAGCCTAGATATCTTTTTCCTGGCCATGTTCTTTAGTCATTGCTCTATAAAAAAGGGAGTGTTTTCTCTTTCAGAGTGTTTGACATGTTCCTCATGGACTAGGTGGGCTCTCAGGATGCAGGGGTTGATCTAAAGCAGGTGTCATGCCTTGTGGGGACTTGGCAGTACGCCTCCAGGCATCTGCAGAGCTTCAAACTCATCTTATGAAGCTCTAATTTTAAGATTTGAGCACTTACACCCTGATCCTGACTTCCACAGGGAAAGCAGATAATTGCCTTGCAAACACAGCCTTCAAGCATGGCTGTGATTGCCATTAGAAAAATCAGGGGTGGGGGGTTACAAAATGCTTTTAGATAGTGGCATATCAGCCACTGCATGTGGATCCTTCTGGCTCTGTCAGATGATGTAGAGCACTGTTGGTTTGGTAAATGGGGGCTTTCTACCAGAGTCTGGGTTAGATTAAAATTACAGAAGCATGCTACATTAGAATAAAAATCTAACTGGTGCACACTTTTGTCTTTTGCTGAACTTGAGCACCCTCCTTTCCTAAGATAAGGCAACTTTTCACAGTAAATCTCCTCCTTATATACAGAGCAAGCACAAGATAAAGCAAAATAATAGCCTCCCTCCACATGGTCTTGACTCATTCTTCCTCTGAAACTGGCAGCCTGCTTCCTGAAGACACATTTGCCAAGATCTTGTTCACTTCTAGATCCCTAACTCTTCAAAGTAAATAAAGGATTTGAAGAGGCACAATGTTTCCAAACCTTAGTAGCTCAGGCACTTGATGGAAATTCTCTCAGTTGGTAATCTCTTGTGGAAAAATTGACATGGTTAACACTCAATAGGGAGTACAAAGTTATCTTAGTGCTGAGGTACCAAACCATTTCAGACCAGAGGTAGAATTTGGGGCAGAACTGTGGAAATTAATGGAATTACAGCAATTTGCACCCGTTGTCCAAGCTCACACTTTTTTTCTGCATGGATGTCCAGCTTGGAGCTACAAAGGCAGCATTACCCTCAGCAGAGTGGAGTGATGGCCCTTAGGGGAAGTGAGATCTGTTGTATTGTTGACACCTTTGCAAAAGCTGACAATCCAGTCAGTGTACTAAAGTACCATATTATAATTCTGCATGTTTGTTTTTGAATAGGAAAATTGTCATTCTTTGGCTTGCCAGTAATAGCTATTCTTGCTCTTGACATCTGCAGTGAATATTTCATGTAGCTGAAATTTAGAGGTATGGGTGTCCAGCCTCATACACTCTAATTTGTTGAGAACTGGAGCTAACAGAGGTTAGTCTTCAGATATGACAGCAGCCAGAGTGAAATGGCAGAGATATTGCCAAGCACGACGCATTATTTCCATCTACAGAAGATAGAAGTCCTCACTATTAGGAGGCTAACCCATGAGTGGGCTATCTCTCTTTACTCTGGATGAGCTTGCAGTCCTGGAGCATTCATGAGAATGGCCAGAACAAGGACTGCAAGAAATAGGAAAAATTCCAGAGAAGTCTAGCAAGTGACACTGAAAGAAAGAGAGAATAAGATGCTCAGGTTCTTTCATAAACTACTAAAGTGTCACTGAAATTTGTCTGAAATGAGATTAGGAAGCACCTTTTGTGAAATTTAAGCTTATCCCCTGCTATGTGGCTGGTAGTACATCCATCTTGTGAACAACATGCAGATATCCCTACCTAGCCCACCCACACTGGGTTTCTGGGCTTGTGATGAGTATATATGTCTATCATGTCATGGGGCATGCCAGCAAGCTCACCAAAGAGCTGCCTACCCCCCCAAAGCCCAGGGAGATGATGGCTGTGGGGAGCAGCCAGAGACAGAAGAATTATTCTGGTGGACTGGACCCAGGTTGGAAATGCTTCCTTTAGAGCAGAAAGTTATAAACAGAGAATATCTTGTCATTTTCTAACCTTTTTTTCTCATTTCCTCCTTGTTAAGGACAACGATGTACTCAAAGATGCCTCCCATCGTGCCAGATGTCATGAAATGGGTGCCGTAGTCGTTGATGAATTTGGCATACATGCCATAGTTGTAGGTGTCTGGGAGCTCCTGCAGGGAGAGCAGCATGTCTTCATCCAAAACAATGTTGTCCCTTCTCATCTTGAAATGGGCAGTTTGCACCTTTGTCACACTTCTAGTGAATGAAAGCCCCTACAGGTAAAGAGAAGAGATGCCACTCAGTTTCCTTTTTTTTTTTTTTTTTAATTTTTTTTTCATTTCTAGTGTTTAGGCTCACAGAGTCTGAGTCTCTGACTGTTGGTGTATATTGAAGGCATGAAAACAAGCCCAGGTTTAAATGAAATCCATGGGAACTTTTTAGAGCATCTCTTTCTTCTCTGCTGTATGAGGTGAAGGACAAAGCTATGGACTTGGAAAAAAAACCCCAAAGCTATGGGGTTTTTTTTATTGATGTGGGTGCTCAGAATGAGGCCCCAGGTGATTCCCTTCCATATTCTGTTGCTGCTATTTCTTTTTTCTGGTTTCCTTTCCATCCTGTATATTCTACTTGGGTGTTTTTCACAGCCTTGACCAGTGATGCAGGACAAGGGCTCAAGGAAAGCCCAGCCCAGGCTGGAGCAGGGGGTACCATGGCCAGGGAGGTGCTGACAGGGGTAGGATTTCCTGAATATACCACCAGACCCACGACTCCCCTTCTAGATAATCCATTGCCTCAGGCAAGACTCCAGTACAACCTTTAAAATGATTCCTTCAATAACTGATCATCATTTAGCTGCAAACATCATGTGAGCCTAGACGAGGGCGCAGTAAATATTATAATGGTGCCCATTTCAAACAGCTTTTAAGGGCGTTTTAACTCAGAACACCATCAAAGTAATTCTTCTTTATTGTTTTCTGTCAGCAGCCACAAGAGAAGTGGAGAATGGGGCACAGTAAATGTGGGAAATACCAGCACTCGTGTTATTATATTGGAAAGAGGTCACAGCTAGTCCATGATGTAAACACGTGGAGAGAAATACAGCCTATTACAGGGTACTCTTTTATTTTTCTTAGTGTGATGATTTTTTTTTAACCTCCCACAAAAAAATAGCCTATTTCCCCATCATAAAGCAGCTTGCATTCATTTGGACAAGATATATTTGCTACCAGAGATCATTTCCTAAGGACAACGGTTTTGATCGACATCTTGATAGTTCCTCCCCCCCCCGTCATCACTTTTAAGCATTTTTTTAATTTATGTGCTTAACTTAACCATGAAACAGGATGGGGGGAGATAACATGTGTTGTGATACTTCCTAATTCAATTTTATTCCCACTCCCTGTTTGCTGAAACGTAATAAGAACAACAAACAGGATTACTAACGATCATACAGCTGCAATTACATGAACAAATTAAGGTACAATTACTATGTGCTAAAAAATGCAATTGAGAGAATAAAGTGACATAAGTTATAGCCAGACCATGCGGTGCACAGATGACATGAGTGGTGCACATGCATCACTGATATTTTTTTCTTTACCTTTTCAGTGTATTGTGTGAAATTCTTCAGGGATCCTTTGCCACCTGATAAAGTGAAGCCCAAGTTTAATTGGGAAATCGATTTGCTAAACCCAATTCCAATGGTAATGCCTTTTGTTATGGATTTATCGCTTTTAAGGGCATCGAGCAGATCCTTTGAATCATCATAAAACTCAAAATTGAATCCAGAATCGGCATGAGCCTAAAGTAAAAAGAGCAGACATTAATTTTTCAGGTACTTCCCTTCCTTTTTAATCTGAATTTCTTTAGGGAGCTGATGGTGCCTCTGTTGAAGCCCATGATCCTCCTGACAGTACCAACATCGACTTCAGTGAATGTGGAATAAAGAATTAAGTCACGTGCCATTTCATTAGGAAAGATGTGAGAAATGGGGCTAAAGCCAAGTGTTTTGCCTCATCCATCTCCAGGCAGGGGAAAGGTTTGTGTTTAGCCTCTCAAAGCAGTACCATTACAGCCAGAGCTGGTAGTGGTACCTATTGAGCTAGCTTGACACTTCCCATTATAAAACCTTCCTTCCAGTTCTTTATGGCTCTGCCAAATCCTGATGATTTGGGCTGTTTTTTCTCTCCAGCCTGATTCTGGATGAACTTATTTAGGAAAAAAACTCAACAGCTATGATCCAGCCACTTGCAATGGCAACACTAGAAAGCAAACATTGTTCTGTCTGTGTTTTAGAGAAGTGACCTTTCCCTTGACAGCTCACTTTGCTGGCATGTAGAATTGAGCAGCCTTGCAGGATCTGGGCTAGGCCAGTTGCCATCTCTATAAAAAGCCAGCTAAATTACCAACACTGAAAAAAAAATGTCACATCATTGTGAGTGACTTCCTAGAACCCAGCAGGTAGAAACTCCCAAGTCAAGATGTGTATGGGGCATGCTCAAGGTGTCCCTCAGCACCTAACCATGGTGCAGATGTCTTTCCACTGCTAACAGTGCTAAGGGCAAGAAGGAAACCTGGTCCCTGTGGTGAGTCTTTCTGTTTTCAAATTGGGGACTAAGGGGCACAGGGGACTTTGCCTGCTGGAAGGCTGTGAAAGCCATTTGTGTTGAGCCTGTGGCCCTAATATTCCCCTGGAATGATGTGTTTCCATTCATTTGTCAAAAAGAATGATAAATGTTTAACAGTGTGGCCAAGGCATCCCCTTACAATGTGGGAGACCCAGGCTGAATCCTTCCTCTACTTAGTTCAATCTCCAACATCAGATGTGACCCTGTAGAGTACAGGCATTGTGATACCTGGTGGTGACCTTCAGGATCTCTGTCCCTCTCAGAATGTGGATTTATCCCCCTTGCAGCAATGCATGCCATAGACTTAAAATGCTTTCAGAGCTTAAACAGGTAGCATTGTTCCAGTTTTACACGCAGCTGACCTCATCCCTAGCAAGTGGCTTGTGCAAACTCTACAGTTCATTAATAGCAGAGTTTAGAGAAAACATTCCTCTTGGCCCTGGCTAGGCCAGGGTAAGCAGTGGTGATAAAACAGTTTAGTTCCTTGGTGGGCCATAAAAGAGCATTTATATTTATATGCCTGTTATCTTGGGGACAGCTGGACAAAGATACTTCAAAAGACAACCTGCAGCAAATGATGTACCTGACATCTCTGTAGGAAATTTGGCTTTTATTGGGGAAAACATGACTAAATTGGACCAGCTGAAGTACTTACTAAGAACTGGTATATGTGAAAGTTGTAAGGTTTGCGGAAATACTTCTCATCATCTCCATAGTACAGATGTTCACACGCAGCATCGTACTTCAGCTCCCGCCACTCTCCATTGTAGACAGACTCACAGTGGCCTCCAAAAAAGTTAGGATCATATACGTACTGGGTCCCTTCCTGTGTTAGGATATTGTATCTTGGGAAGAAGTAGTAAAGTTATCCATAGCTCCTATTTTACTTCCCCAACAATCTCTGTCACTGTTTCTGTTCTCCTGACACATCCTCGGGTCTCTAGCACCTAAAATCTAAGGGTTGGCTTGATCTCCTTGCTATCTCCTTCCCAATGCTAACATGAGATATTTTAGTATCAAGATGTTGGTTTGGACTCGGGTGCTGGAAATGGAAGAAACCAGTTAAGTTGTCCAGTCCAATCCCAGCCCAGCAAGTGCAGATATGAGAGTCCCAAAGTCCTGGAATTCCTCCAGGTCCCCTGTGAGCCTGATGGATCTCACTGTCACAAAACATTTTCTGGCATGCCCTGTAATTGTTTTCTGTCTTAATTTCAACTCCTTCCTTTTAATAATGGTGCCATTTCTTGGGGGAGTTAAGGCTCTTCCTAGACTTGCAGTTTGCTTGTGCTTTGCCAAGTCTCTCACTTATTATTATTTCCTTATACCTCTTTCTTCCTGCTCTCCAGCCATCACAGCTGCTGCCTTCTGAAATCCTGCCCATTCCCTACTATCCCCTGTAATTCCATGGCCCAAAATGAAATCATTATTCAAACTAGACAACAGGGAATCATCTTTAAGACTAAAATAGTAAATGCTATTGTTTTTGTGTGTTCTGCAGGAAAAACACAAGAGAGTGGTATCAAACGTGGTGCTTGATGAAAATGAATTTAGGTCTTGAAAAACTTTTGATGGACTTTCCCAGGCCAGAGAGCCATTTATCTTGTGGACTCCAGGGCGTGCTGGATCAGATGATAGGAAAGCTATCTAATGGCTGGTTACATTCTCACACTGTGGAACTAAGCAGTATTTTGGTTAAAACACAACATTTTAAAAAAGAATGTCACAATTCTTTTTTAAAGGCTAATTCGCCTTTAGATTTGTTCTGGGTTCCTCTTTTCTGTGTATTACCCAACCAAAATTTGAAACTGAACACAGTAAAACTTTTTCATGGATAGGTGTATTTACCCTGCATAGATCTGTGTGGAGCTCAGGCTCTCTGCCTTGAATCTCTGCTTACTTTGGACTGTAAAGTCCCAAATCCTGAAGTCAAATTTTCTTTGGGAGGAACGCCACCAGGATGCTGCATCTCCTGTCTGCTATTTACTTTAATGTATTATTTTCTTCAACAGGAGAAGCTTTTAAGATAACTGGACTGAGAACTGGGATAGAGCTTTTCATGAGTATTAAAAGGACACTCTGAAGTGTCTCTGTACCAAAGCACAGAGTGGCTGAGAGAAACTGAGGTCAGAGTAAATTTGAGACAGAATTTGAATTAAAAGCTGGGATGAACCCTCCTGCCTTCCTCATTGCTACCCACAGTCCAGTGGGACAGTATCTCTCCATTGGGGTTTGTAAAGCACCCTATCAATTCATGAAGTACTGCTGTTACTAAAGAAGGACTATATAAAACACTTAACCCTGCTTTCATTGTGAGAGTAGATGCTATTGATTAATTACTCACCCTTGGGCTGCTTTTTCAGCCCCGGGGATTGGGAGCAGATGTTCACAAGGGCTTTCAATATCTTCCTCCTCGCAGTTCTCCTCATCAGACCCATCTCTGCAGTCTAGTTCTCCGTTGCACACAAGATGCTGTTTAATACAGCGACCTAAAATGCACAGGGAATTGCTTATCTGACCTCCAGAAAAACCTTTTTGGCAGCTTGCACTTGGTTGTGCTGTTTTCCACCCATATCTCAGGGCCACAAGAAGTCATGCTGGGTGTCAAACACACCATCCTCCCATCAGATGGAAGAGTTCCTGGCTGCTTGCAGGGAGATTTTCCGTTGCAACCTGGAGTGAGTATAGCTCACAATCCAAGCTGGCTAATCCTTTGGGCTCCCATGGGATGGGAATCAAGTAGAGGTCTCCTCACTGCCCTGATTTTATTATCTACAACCATGCTTTTGGAAGGGAGCTACAGGAAGCAATAGCTTCTCCACTTGGCTTAGGCGACTCAGCTCTGTCTAGTTAAAGTGCAGTTTTGCCTCTTCCTGTTGCAGGAGGTATTTGGGGAGTTTATTGCAATAATTATAGTTCAAGAATGGATATTTGCAGGAAGGGCAACTTCAAAGTGCTTTCCCTTCTGGGGGTGAGGAGGGAGCATTGATGTAACATTCATGGCAGGAGGGGACCAGTACTGCTGCACTTAGCTCCATGGAGTGATGATGATCTGACCCAACTGATGAGCTGGTCCCAGAGCTGGTGCCTATTTCTAAATTTCAATAGGATTTTTCCTTAAACACTCAAGATGGCAGTTTGAGCCATTGGTGTAAAAACAAAATCTGTCAAGACTAGTCAAACTCGCAGAGAACAGACGTATTATATCCCAATCCTCAGAGCTGGAGATGGCTAAAAATAAATAAATCACCCCAACAGATTGCTAGTTGGATTAATGATTGAACTGTCTTTTGCAGGGGGAGAAAGTGGTGTGTTGTAGGAGCCCACAGAGGGGAGCGTGAGTGTGCATGCAGCAGTTGGAGCAGAATATTTCTACTCTTTTTGTTCCACTGAAAAATTAACCTTTTCTGTGTCACACAGCCTTGCTTATAACCAAATCTAAGCCTAACTGGGGGAAATTCTAAAAAAGTGAGGGGGAAAAAAAAATGGGGAAATTTCCTGCTTTTTCTTGCCCCAGTTGCCCATCCTCCTGGTTGGGATTATCACCTCGGGTCTGTCCACTCGGGACCAAAACCTCTTTAGTGGGACTTTGTGCCTGGTTCACTCACCTGTTTCCTGGCAGAGAAAGTCCTTCCCACAGCCAGGGGGCCCGCTGCACGTCGTCTCAGCATGGCAAGCTTGCACATCCCAGAGGTGCCCCGGGCACGGCCGCCCTGCCAGCCCCGCCGGCTGCACCAGCCTCCGGAACCGGTGCTGAACCCCACAGAGACAGAAACCACCCACTGAACTTGGATCATGGGATCGGTCATGGGGTGGCCTAGGTTGGAAAGGACCCTAGAAATCATCTCATCCAACCTCCCTGCCATGGCAGGGATGCCTCTCAACTAGACCAATTTGCTCATCCAACCCGGCCTTGAACACCCCCAGCCTCTCTGGGCAATCTAGTCCAGAGTCTCACCACCCTCGTACTGAAGAACTTCTTCCTAAGATCTAATCTAAACCTGCTCTCCTTCAGTTTAAAGCCATTTCCCCTTGTCCTGTTGCTGCACACTGTTGTGAAAAGTCCCTCCCAGCCTTCCTGTGGGTTCCCTTCAGGGACTGGAAGGCAGTTAGAAGGTCCCTTCGGAGTCTTATCTTCTCCAGGCTGAGCAGTCCCAGTGCCCTCATGCTATCCTCATAGCAGAGATGCTCCAGCCCCTGGTTCAACTCTGTGGTTTCCTTTGGACTCATTCCAACAGATCTATGTCCCTTTTATGGTGGGGACACCAGAACTGGATGCAGTATTTGAGGTGGGGTCTCACAAGAGCAGAGTAAAGGGGGTGTCAGCAGAGAGGTGGGAGCTCAGTAAATTCACTTGAAGTTCATACATGTGACTTTAGCAGAGGGCTGGAATGACTACTTTTTAAAAAATTTCTTCCCTATTTTATATCTTGGAGCTTTTCCAGTTGCACATGCTTTGTCTTGGAATCTAACAGGCTCAGATGGACACAGACACTAATTACAACACTGATCCTGCAACATTTCTGATGGATTATTAATGAGAATTGCTGCTCTTTAAACTAGGAAGGAAAAAAAAAAGAAAAAAGGGGAAAGACAGAAGAATCAATTCATTTACTGATTATAAGCAAAGGAACAAAAAAAAAAAGTGATATAAATTTGGTAGAAAGAATAATTATGCCAGGTATTTGCAAATAAATTATTGAATTATGAAATTGTGAAACGATGTAAAAAATTGAGAACAGGAGCACATGAATGAGGACAGCTTCTAACATATTTTCACTAGAATATTTCCATTAGGAATCAGGGGTTACTTAATTAAATGAGGGATAGAAAAGGAAGCAAGTCTTGGGCAAATATTTTGGCCTGATTCTTCCACCATTTGCCTCCATTTTGCATTTTGCTGTTCTGCTGCCTTAAAGGAATTTATTCCCCAGTTTACACCAGGGTACGTAAGAGCCTCTCTAGTCGAGGAGCTTCTCCATCATATTTGGATGAGTTTACTGGATGCTTCAGAATGATGAATATGTATAATATACATAATTAATATGTGTACGTCCTCATCACAGACACATCTGAAGATAAATGAATACATTACAGAGGAGTCTTACTTTTTTCTCTTGGCAAGGAAAGCAATCTGTCCATTCTGACCATTGGCTCAGCTGGCAGTCAACAGGGGCTGGAGAATTAACATCTCTGCTGCTCCTCCTAAGTAGGGGAAGAGATAGCTGTCTGAGGTCTTTGAAGTTGTGTTTTAAGGAAGGCTGGAGGCTAGCACGGGGGAAGTTATCTTTGTGTGTGTGTTTTCCCACCAGGAAGATCTATTTTGTAGGAAAGGGGAAACGTCCCTTAGTAGGGGTGGCTGTACTACTTAAGATGCCCTATCCAAGTGTTTCATCATCAGAGCTGGGCAGGGACAGCAGGTGCAGGACCTGAGGATTTTGTTTTGGATTTCCTGCTCTCTCAAGAGAGATTTGAGATCAAGAATTTGATCTCATTTTTTTCCAATAGTTAGATTGCAATAAAATATACGTACCTTATATGTATAAGGCAAAACACTGAGCGAACAGGTGGGATGTTGAGGAGAGACAGGTTTTAAGAAAAGGCTTCTTTTTTGGCTTTCTTCTCAGAAGCACATCACAAAGTCCAGGAGCAGTGATGTTTATCACCTTGAGCCTGTTCTGAAATCTATCGATTTCACTGGGTTTTTTTTTTTTTTTACACTGTTGTGAACTCATGGTAGGTATTTTTCCAGACAAATAGGAAATCAGGGTCTGATTCCCATGAGCTTTGTGGAGCTCTGGGAAAGGCTGCACCAACAGCTCTGAGAAGGCAAGGCACAAAGCCATGCTGACTATGGCAATCTGCTGGTTGACCCTTTCTAAAAGGAAATGAATACATTCTGAGACAAGGGAAAAAAATAAAGGAAGAAGCATAAAAGCAGAAAATGACACAGGTACTGTATCCCAATGGCTCTTGGATCAGACTCTCTGTGCATACAGTGAATATCTTTATACAACAGTAAGAAAATTCTCCTCCTGTCTCCCAGCCCAGTCATTATGATCTCTATTTCTGTCCCTACTCCTCCAATCTTTATTTGTGTACTGTGTTTCTTTGTCTTGAGGAGCAATCTGTGGTGTGTCACTACAACTCTGTGTTTACCACAGCCTTCGAAGAGTTTTGAGGGTTTATTCTGAGCCAAAATATTATTATTTTGGTGATTAACTAATGAGCAGTCTGTTTTACTTATGAGACTGCAGTCCAAAGAGAAATATTGATAATTAGTAGAGGTATGGAGCACATTGGGGATTCATCAGAGGCTGTAGAAGAGAGACTTACTAAATGAAAGCCACAACAGCTCAGCAAGGGAGCCTGTGGATGCAGATCAGTGTGTGAGATAAAAACCCACCGTGCCCCCAGGAAAACAACAGGGGCCTGCAGACAAACATGGAGCTGGAGGGCTCACATCTATTGATGCCTTTTTGCTCTGACAGGAGGATTCGTGGGCTGTATGCTTCACCACTTCACAAAGCACTTAATTGGCTCACCTTGGATTGGATTTTACATTTACCTCTTCATTATTCTGCCTTGTTTGATAAGTTCATCAAACATCAAAAATCTCATCTTTGTTCATTTTCAAAAAGGATTATCAGAATAAGCCTTCATAATTAAGTGTATCACTACTACTTTTTTTTCCCCCTTCTGCCTTCTCCTTGTCTCCATGTTCCAATTATCACTGATACCTTTTTTTGATCCTTCTAAATCATATTTGCCTTTAGAACAAGCCTGAAATTAATGGCTGTAGAAAAAAATGCAATCTTTTCCCTATTCTGATACTATGGCTTTAGAAAAAACAAAAAGTAACTTGTTTATTCCCTTCCTTCAAAGCCTAAATGACACTCATATAGGTTAATAATATTGTTCAGAGAAAAAAAAAAAAACGAGGAGGATCTGGCTTGGACTGAAAATTGGGTTATTCCCGTGCACTTGTTAACTTCACATTGTCAAATGTAACATAATCATAACAAAAAAGAATGTGAAAAATATTCACTTGTAAATCCTGCTGTGTGGGGAATTCATTTGAAGTGCCAAAACCTGGTACAATACTTTTGGTAAAGTAGTTTAAGAAGGCTTAATAGTCATGTGTAAAAGAACCACCATTGTGCAAACAGTTTATAGAAGAAGGAATTGTGATGCCGAGCTTGGGCTTTGGACAACTGCCAATATCTTTTTTTCCTGGTAGCTCTTTAGAGAGACCACGGTGTGCACATGTCTCAAGTCAGGACAAAACTGATGGGCTGACAGGCTTGCCTGGGATTTCTATATGTAAAGTTGGGAGGGGAGTGGACTTACCTCTGGGAAGGCAACGCCTCGAGCTCCCTGTGTGCTGTAGTCGTGGCCTGATATTCCACCAAAGCCAGCAAGAATATAGACAAAATCAAAGGAGAAAGCAACTGACTCAGGCTCCACCACATTGCTTTTCCATAGGTAAATGTTTGCTACAGATGAGCTGCACACAAAAGCTTTAGGCTTCAGGATGCTGTGCTACAAGAAGCACGGAGCCCACCAGGCTCCAAAACACCACAGTAAATCATTGACAACAGCACAGATCAAATCACAGAGAATGAGGACACATCCCGGAGGCCTTTGCACTTTTGGAAACAGATTCCCAGTTTTCTGGCAAGGGAATATATTAAACTGTGTGACTGTATCCACATTAAAGTCAATCAAGTCTTATTGCAGCAGGGTGTTTCTTGTCCAGCCTGCATCCTCCTTTTAATTTGAAGGAGGAGGAAGCTCATTTTATTTCCCACAGTGGCTTAACTATAATTTTGGGGCTTCTGGTTGCTGACCAGGGAAAAGCTTCCCAGCACAGCAGATTGAAGATGATGAGAAAATTGTGTTATGAGGAACGTGTTCCTTCCAGATATCTCAAGGAAAAGTCAGTTCAGCTTCTTCCCATTGCCATCCCCATAAGACAGTGTCCCATCTCCAAAGCTGATGTAAGTTATCACTTGGATTTTGGATTGCCCTACACAGTCAGTGCAGCATGGGAACATAAATCTTCATTTTCTAAAGTGATTTGGGGTGAGGAAGATGCCTCCTAAGTCTGATATTATGTCTTACTCATATGCTGTGCAAGCGCATTAGTGGTGGCTCTAATGTTTTTAACTGGTTGAGTTCTTAGCACAGATGTGGATGTGCAAAAGTATAAGAGAACAAGGACACTAGGAGTTATTTATTATAAGATAATAGTCACAAGATGAGAATATTTAGTTTTCATGTGTTGGATGAAAGAAAAAATGGCCATTGGAAATACATTTGGTCATGCAATAGCCTGGGTTGCCCCATATCTGTTTCTTTGAGCCTGATCACAGCCTACAAAATTCCCCAGAGGGCTCCTGAGCATCCACAAAGAATGTATGACTTAGATATCAGTTTAAAAAAGAAAAAGAGATCTATGGAGACTTTTGTGTTCAGAGAAGGGTCTGTATCTCCTTGCTTTTTCTTCTGCATAAGTGGGCTGAGATGCTTCACGCATAAATGAAATGTTCCCAGCAGAAATCTGGAAGCTTGAACCTCAATAAATTCAAGACTATGTGCAATTATTGTAGGAAAATCTGGTCTGGGGCTATTACAGCTATTCAGCAGGCAGTGAATTGTCTTCTGTCCACAAAAGGCTGGGATAGAAGTGTCACTTTGTGTATTTCCCAAATTAATTGCAAAGCTCATTTTGATAGCTAGTATTGTAAGTTATCGAAATAAAAGGACCTCTTACCATGTTATTTTAATGTAATTAAAGTACAGAATGACCCTGGGGCTTGTCTTTGCTGAACATGAAGAAATGTAGCACATGGGTAAACTCTGTAGTGAAATGAAAACTGCCTTCTTGTGACCTTCTAGAAGATGTTAATGTAATCCCTTACCTACTCAGGCACTCCAGATGAGTTCAGAAAGTCCTCCTCCTTTCTTCATTTACACAGAAAGAACTCAGATAAGGGGCTTAGGGTGTTTGTTTTGGATTTTTTAATATAGTATTAAACCTAAATAGCTCTTGCCTTGGAGAAAGGCAGGGGATTGAAACTGGCCTAAGGTGATGCCCACCGTTACCTCCCTACTGCATGTTACAGCCACTCTGAACGTTGTGGTTAAGACAGAAGGACATAAAAAGGTTTTAGCAATGCTTATAGAAGTCTGATGGGGGTGGACCCCACTGTCCCCATGGTGGGAGCATCCCTGGCTCTCTGCCAAACCTGCCTTCTTCCAGACTTCATCCATCCTTTGATATAAATGGCTGCTTTGCACAGTCAAGTGCCTCCTCAGCATCTAAGCAAGACTGTCGAGGCATTTTATCTTTTCTTTTCTGATAGCAGCCTCAGAAACACACCGTATATATAATGAAAGTTATTTGTGGCATGTCTCCCAGGTAAAAGGCTGGGCTGGTTTGTGCAATCAGGCACAACAACAATTTCACACTGATAGGTGAAGTCGGCTTGGCGGGGGAGGCATGTGAGAGAGATTTAAGTGGCAAGCAAGGCACACCACGTTAGAGGTGAAATTAAAGAACCTTTCTCAAAGGTGTTATGTTCCAAAAGTGATATATATATATAAGTTATGGTTCCATTTATAACCTTATGAATTGAACCTGTCTAAAATGTGTGTTGGATCCTCGCCTCTAAACCTGAATTAACTCTCGGAACTTGAGGCTTGCAACGCTTGCCATGCTGTTGATAGCAATGCAGTCACCTTCAGGATGATAAGCCATGAACTGAAGTCTTGGGTCTCTTCAAGAGCACAGAGATACCAGCTGTGAGTGGGCTGGGCTGAGCAGCCAGCTTGCATCATCATTGTGTGGCTATTCCCATCTCAAAGCCCTTTAACAGTGAAGAACTCTTCACTGCCAACCTCTCATCAGAAGACACAACTTCTCATTCCAACACTTGTGTAGCTAAAATCAGGGGCAGATTAACTCAGTGTAAACCAACTTGGGCATCGACTTTTCCTTGCTGATAACAGGATTTTGTTCTGCTTCAGAGAACCTTCACTTCAAATGTGTTTGGCCTAAGGAAGGGAATTAATTTCTGCCTGCAGAATGCATGGGTCTTTTAAACAGCACCTGAACAGCACATTTGGTAACGTGGCTGTCTACACGAGCCTAGCTCCAGGGTGAAGTTATATTCCAAAAGCTGACATAATGTTGTTGTTGTCCAGCAATTTGCATTTGGACTTTCTTTATACATAGATTTCTATTTTTAGCATATTCACGGCTCTATTCTATTTATAATTTTTTATGTTATTTATGCAAAACTTTAAATCTGAGTTTTGTTCCTGACTTGAAGACCATGAACATCTAAAGGCAGTCTTGCTCTTTTTTTATTCTGTTTGATACATCATGGCCAAAAAGTGGTATCCAAGGCTCTTGCTGTCATGCATTAAGCAATGTGACTGACACGTGCTACGTGCTGTTTGTCCTCTCGTGGTTCCCCAGAGAGAAGTGCAGAGCAGACAGCTTTCAATTCCAGGGTAAGGTGGTGTTTCTTTAAAAATATAGAGCTTGTTACAAAGTACAGAGGTTATAGAGATATTAGATATGGCAAGACCAAGAAATTCTGCCTAACAATTGGAGCTCTGCCCTTGGAAAGTTTCCTGTTTCACACGTGCTTTCGCAGCACACATGGGCTTTCTCAGCTCATCCTCTCTGCAAGTGCAGTAGCTTGGTAAAGAACTCCTGTTTTCCCAAAGAAGCAAAGCTGGTGACCAAGGTCTTCATCTCTGAACTTCAAAATCAAAACCCCAGCACAGATACCTTCAAGAGAAGATGTTGTGGTTTAGCCTCAGCCTGGAGCTAAGTCCCAGCAGCCGCTGTGACTTTATATGTTGCTGAACATGGAGCTGCTCTGATAACATACCTCCTACCAGAGCAAAGAGCCTTAAACACATGAGGGATAGATGGGTTATATTGCTAAAAAAGAATTATGCTCCCTTTTAAGAGGAGCCACATTGGCTCCTCCTAAATTCTACATTTTACCTCCTCCTGGCTGGTAAAAGAAAGTGTTAGATTTTTGACTGCAGGCATCAATAATATTGCATTTTCTTAAATTTCCCGTTAATGCCAGTAATGCAAGACAGAGCAAACGGCTCCATGAAGGAACAAGTGATCCTATCTCCCCCTCTGCTGGAAAATCATGATATGACCTCCTGGCAGAAACAGGCTGAGACGTGCAGGGAACCGGGCTGGAGTGACCCTCCTGGGGACAGAATAAGACATAAAACCTGAGCTGAAATGCCCCCTAGCAAAGGCTCGTACCCGGCTATCCACTTTTGCCCTTTTTTCTGGGTTCTGAGGTGTTTTTTTCAGATACAGGGACCCTGGTGTGTTGCACCCTGGAGTGGCCATTTCCCTCACTCTGTGCCTCATCTCCTTCCCCCAGTGCTGCCCCACATGTGGGGTCAGTAGCTGTGACAAGGGAAAATAACTTGTCAGATCATCCCCAATCTATAATATTATGACACTGGACTAATATTGTCACTAATTTTGTCATGGGCAGTACCTGAAACTAGTTGTCTTCCAAAGGTGACTGGGTTAGCCAAAACTTTTCCTTGTCTTCACCACCCATGCTGTCCAACCCTTCTGAAAGTCTGAAAGATTGGGAATAAATCATATTTCCAAGATCTGCTGTTGTTTCTGGTCTCTAGTAACACCCTTGTGAAATCAAAAAAAAACCAAAAATCCCAAATCTATATAATATACCTATAATATATGACATATCCCACCAGTCACTAAGTAGATGAATAATACAGGGGAAATAAGTCTGCTGAATTCTGTGCTTGCAGCCCTTGGCCTGATAAGATGCTAATTGCACTACTGAAAAACAAACAAACAAACAAAACAAAAACCCCCAAAAAAACCAAAAACAAACAAACAAACAAACAAACCACAAAGCCCTTATCCAGATCATAGAATTGGTTTGGTTGGAAGAGATCTTTTAAGATCATTGAGTCTAACTCTTAACCCAACACTGCTAGGTCACCACTAACCCATGTCCCTCAGCACCACATCTCCATGGCTTTTCAGTCCCTTCAAGGGATGGAGACTCCACAACTTCCCTGGGCAGCCTGAGCCAGGTCTTGACAACCCTTTTATTGTTCCCAATATCCAATCTAAACCTCTCCTAGCACAACTTGAGGCTTTTTGCTCTTGTCTTATCACTGTTACATGGGAGAACAGACCAACCGCCACCTCACTCCAACCTTCTTTCAGGGATATTTAGAGAACAAGAAGGTCTCCCCTCAGCCTTCTTTTCTCCAGGCTAAACAACCCCAGTTCCCTCAGCTGCTCCTTGTAAGACTTGTGCTCCAGACGCAAACCATAACATTTTAAATCTTTAAACAGGTTGAAATGGTTTGTTCTGGGGAGACGGTGCGTGCTTGGGAAGTGTTTGGTGCCGTTGCTCTCAGTAGTCGTGTGTGATTT